GGATGACGAAGGACAACGCTTTCCCCTACCTGGAGGTCCAGCATCTAACCGGAGGGCTCATTGATCCCAAGAAAACTGGTCGCATCCCCGTGCTGGAAGCTGCCCAGACAGGGATGATAACAGGTGACCTGGCCAACAGGCTCCAGGATGAGTCCAACTATGAAAAAGATCTCATTGACCCTATCACTAAAGAGAAGATAAATTACAAGGAGGCCATGGCCCTCTGCCAGAAGGATTCGCTGAGCAGCCTCCTGCTGCTCCCAGCCACGTCGGAGGGGTATCAGCGGTACCACCAGGCGACCCGTTCACCCAAGCTCTCACGGTTCAGGCACTGAATGGATTCAGGCATGTACTGGATCTGGTTCCTCCAGGAGTTCATCCCTTCAAAACACCTCTCCCCACGGAGGCAGCAGCGATCACAGGAACAGAGCGTCTAGTATTTAGGGCTGCATACTCTTCTGTCTTAGCTATCGGCTTCCCAACGCAGCTTGGCCACGCAAGGAAGAAAGCGTGACCGTGAGCGTGCGAGGGCCTGACACACAGGGGTTCCCGCAGTCCCCCGGGTGCTGCTGTGGCAGCAAAGGGGGGTTGATGGTGAGAACGCCACTGGCAGTAGGTTAAACGTGGTTATGCCCAGAAAAGGGCGAGAGCCAGAGTGTTTTCCAGTTGGGTCATTCTTCTGCATGCAATAAACATAGAAAGTGTGTCTCTGTGGCTGTGTTGTCTCCGCAGGCTGAGGCTGCAAAGTGGCTGAAGGCACGGCTGGTCCTCCCCCCACGCAATCCTATGCCCTGCAGCCCAAATTACAAAGGCTTTGCAGACTCTTGCTCCCCCTGATCTCACAGCACTGAAGCCCCTAAATTTATTTCTGCATGTGAGTCCATATTTTAAAACATTTTGTTCTGTTTGTCTTAACTAAAAACCAATGGGACATTGTTCCCTGGTCATTTGGATGTCTCTGAAAGAGGGACTTGGAACTGCACCCTTTGGTGACCAAGTTATGTTTGGTCCAGTCTACGTGTAGGCAGCTGCTGGATGGAGCAGCCCCCCCATCCCCTCCAGCTGCCTGCCCCTGCTGCCTCTCTGGCTGCAGACCAGTGACAGTGCTGGCTGCACAATGACGCGGGTCACTTCACTGAGCCGCTGGCAGAGGAAGCCAAGCCCCAAGCAAAACCAAACCCTGTTGAAGCAGACGATTTTGAGGCCTTGTCCTGTCCCTGTACAGGAGCAGATGTGTTACAAGGGAAGGGATGACCTTCAGTAGCAGAGTGATGATGCACGCGGTCAACAGTGATGTGAAACTGCTTTCCACAGCCCTTGGCCTTGGCTGCAGGATCCACACGGCAGTACCGGAAAATCTGCACTTGCTATTTCTTTCGGTGAGCTTTCACTCCTCTGCGTAACTTGCACTGCTCAGCCCTTGCTGAAATGAGCCAGTCTCACCTCCCAGATGTTCTTCCCTAGTATCTAACCCACTGTGGAGCATCCCCTGGGTTTGTGAGATCAAAGAAATTACTTTCTATTGATGTGAGCTGCTCTCCCACCCCTCCTGAGGGTTCTTTTAGCTGACGCTGTTGGGGAACTCCAGCACACCCTAAATAATCCATAAGGGCAGAGGTTTTCTCCCCCTCCTTCCCCCACCAGAGCAGCACCATAGCCTCTATTTCCATACAGCCTAGCTAGGATTTGAAGTCTGGGCTCCAAGAAGAAATTGTTCCCATGCTGGCAAGCTCAGCACAACCACAGGTCCTGTCACCTTCCTGCTGGTAGTGCTCAGCATGAACAATTTGAGTCCAGTTATGGAAACACCAGGTTTCCAGTCCAAGATCTGCCCAGGCTCTGTCCCATGCTCTGCAGGGTCTGTGTTTATTATCAGGTCTGTGGCCATCTTGGCTGCCATGATCAATACGGGGCAATTTGTTGGTTTACAATGGGGAAAACTCTTCCACACACCCTAGAGCATCCATTCCCAGCCTTCTTCCTCTTGCTAGAGCAGTGCTGACACATGGGGCACTGTGTCTCCCTCCTGGCTAGTCTGGAGAGCAGCAGCGAGGGCTGGAGCTGGGCTGTGAAGGACGAGGGGACACATCAGGAGAGAATCTCTGGCCTGGCCTCCTGCCAGGACAAGCCCAACAGCCCTCGGAGCACAGGAACACGGCCAGGTGAGAATCGCATCCCGGTGCAACCAAGGAGCCCTGGACCAGTGCAGTTCCCAGCAGTCCTCGGGTCCCAGCTCCTCAAAGCTGCTGGGATCAGCCTTGCTGTGCTTTGGCTTTGCTCCCCTCAGCTGGCTGAGAGCAGGGAGTATCCATGGGCATTGGGGCTGTTGCCTTTCCTGCAGCTCGGCTCTGACCAACAGGTGAGTTTGCCGTCAGCCTTCCCCTCGCCCAGCTCCGTGGGGCAGGGTGCTGGGCTCTGGGGCTGCCCTCCTCCCAGCTGCTCCCCTGGCAAATGAGGTAAAACCCGTGCCTGTTTTTAAAGCCGTGTGGTGTTCACGTGGTGACTCTTTCCTGAAGTGCTGATTAAATACTCTCTAAAACTCTGTAGCTGAGGAACCAGGAGTGCTGGTAATTACGCAGTCAGTTAATCATTCTGGATAAAGTGCTCCCTAACTGCGCGGTGGGAGGTATTTACCTAGGGCGGGGTGAAGGTGTTACGGGACGATTAGGCGGCGGAGCAGTCTCCCTTGAAGGCTGCCTGCCTTTTGCTTCTGAAAAAAAGCCCCACTAAAAGTCCTTTTCTTTGCTGTCAAGTGGTCCTCGCTGGCAGAAAGCAGCTCGTATCTTGTCCTCCTGCTGTGTCTGTAAGAAGCACCGTACAGCCATGGGGCTTCCCCAGAGCCCAGCTGTCTGGAGGGCTGGGAGTTGTCAGGAGGAGCCAGGGAGTGCTTTTCCTCCCTTCCCGGGCACAGGGCGATGGTGCTGCATTGTGGCTTTCCCAGAGCGGTTATTTCAACACAGCTGTTGTTGGTTGCCTTCGCTGGCAGTGGAGTTGGGTCATAAATGTTTGAAATTCAGCCTGTTGCTTCATTTTGTTGGGCTAGATGAGCTGTAGTGGTTTTATTTCTGTTTCTGAGCTGGATGAACATTCTTGGTATTTATTTCTTAATGCAGATCTTCATAAAAAAACACCCAGACAACTCTTCTGCAAACAGCTTGTCTGGCACATCACCAGCATTTGTTTGCGTAGAGCGAACAATGGAACATTGTCTGTACAAAACGAATTGACTTTAAAACATGTATGCGAAGGCAGGGAAACGATTCCCATAGCAGAATTCATCCATGTCTCACAAACAGGCCCCTGCAAGCTGGGTGTCGTGATACAGAGGCCATCAGAGGCTGCAGGAGCACAGCGGGGCTTCCATCTTCCTGCTACATGGCTCTCAAGCATAAGCCCAGCTCCCTGCTCAGTCAGAAAACAATCCCTCCCGAAAACGAGCAGGTCAGTTCTTTCCAGGCAGCCACTCCAGCATGAATCCTAACAGCTTCAAAAGCAAACCAACCCCCGCAAAAACCCCTGATTCTAAAGGTTTCTCTCCCCTGTGCAAATTCTCTGGTATCTAGTAGGTGAGGAGGGAGGTTTGTGCCACAGCTGTGTGTGCAGCCACCTCTCTCCTTTACTGCATTGTTTATCTGTCATGAAACTCTAGGAATGCGATAGCTTTTGAGAGCCGTCAGGTCGTGCTGGGATCAGTTCTTAGGATGGCCGTTAACAGGAAGGCACGTGCACAAAAAACGGGAGCGCAGAAGTTCGGCTTCCCTAAGTTAAAGACTCAAAAGACAGATTTTTAAATAAGTAGAACATAACTCTCAACTGGTTTGTGGCAACCTCTGATGGAAAGCAAGCGTATCTTACCATACCGAGACAGCGCTGGGCTGCAGAACCATCAGCCCCTCGTTCCACACCAGAATCGAGAGCACGTCTCTGCGCCTGCCAAGGATTTGGGCTCGAAAGGATGAAAGAAAGAATGCAGGAGATGAAGGGAGAAGAGCTCTATGGAAAAAAAAAAAGGCCCAGCCAGCCTGTCCTGCGTCACTAGCCTGCTGAGCTGCGCCAAACAATAACCACCGAGGTTTTCTGACAAGCCTTTATTTGTTTCAGTGCTGAAAGAAAAGAAATGAAGATGTCAAAACCACACCAAAAGTTAGTGACAATTCTCCAAACGTTTGAACAGCACACATATTTCCAAGACAATAAAGCGAAGGAAACAGCAGTACATCTGGGCTGATGGGGGAAAGCCGGTGTTTCAGCTGTTGCTGTTTCCAGCCACATGCACTAAGTGGATCTTCTGGCTTCTTGGTCCCAGCTAAGGCCCAAATCAAGACACCTGACAGTGCTCTTCACCTTGTGAAAGAGCAGAATGTCAGCTCTGTTAAACAGCTCGGATTAAACAACTTGTCTAGTGCTGACAAGCCCAGGCTCCAGCAACAGCAGCAAAGGGCTGAGCAGACAGGCGCTCCCCTGCCCAAAGCGGAGTTCCAGCACGCCCTGGCGTCAGAAACCATCGACAACAGACCTGGGGATGCTCCAGTGCTGGACACACAGAAATCACTGTGTGTCAGCTTAGCTCGCTAAGGCAAGGACAACCTTCTGAAAGATGCTCTCCCATCTGCATGTCAGTCTTTTATGCTGACAAACACCCCCCACCCTTTTGCACGTGACCTCTTCAAAACAGCTCTGCTGGCTGTAACCCAGACAAACTTTCCCCAGCAACAGGCTGAGAGTCTCTAAATGCAAGAATGTCCCCCTCCAGGCTCCTCAGGAGAAGGAAGGACCCAGCCAGGGTCCTGCCAAGTGCCCCAAAACAGGTCTGCACTGCTACCCAGAGATGCAAGTGCACGGGGAGAGCTGGGTCTTCTCATCTGCAGTGTCTCTGCAGCACACGTTGATCTTCAGGGCTCTGAGGGCTTCTCCAGTAGAAGTACTGGTGACTGAGGGCTGCCTTGGCTGAGATGCGCTTGCTGGGATCATACAGGAGCAATTGCTGCCAAGAGAAAAACCCAGTAGATTTAGAATTTTAGAAACCAAATGATTGATGGTGCCTGCATGTAGCTGGGCCCAGATGCAGGTGTAGGTCCTACCTTTTCCCCTCTCTGGGCTTTGGGAGTAACCCACAGCTGGAGTTACTGTGGGGATTACACTAGAAGGGTTCCTTGACCCTCGATGCAGTGGTTTCCTAGAGGAACCTGCAATGACAGCCCTGCTTCAGAGCCAGGACTGAGCCCTATTCGGTGTCTCTGCAAGGGCGGAGATGAGCATTAGAGCCAGATCAGCTAACGCGCTTCCAGCTAACCAGTCCCAAGTATCGCTGTTCTTTGCCCAGTTTGAAAAGGTCCCATCTGTCCCCAGGTCTTGTTCTGAGCCCTCACTCACCACCAGCAAGTCTCTACCATCTCGATCTAAGTTGGGAGCAACTTCCTTCATCTCCTTCCTCGCCCACCGGGGAAAGTCCCGCTTGTAGTCAGGCAGCTGGGTCACCCCAGGCCAGGTCAGCTCGGTGGGAGTGCCCAGGGTGCGAAAGATCCGGAAGAGCTGATCGATCTCGGAGTCCCCTGGAAACAGGACCTTCCTGGTCACCTGGGGGGGGAAAAAAAAAAGCCAGTTCCCTCCTTTCCATCAGTTGTGTGTCCTGTTCCCTGCTGCAGGCAACCCTCTGCCCCAGCAGATGCAAACAACTGCGCAGACCAGGGCAGTTACAACGCAGTGATTCTGCCAGGCAGTGGCTGGGAAAGTCACGGGTGCCTGACTGCTTGTCTCCAGCTCCTCTCCACGGATCCATGCTCCCCTGAGGCTGTGCCTCTTTCAGCCAGTCCCTTATCACTCTTTGTCTCCAGTTTCTTAACACCCACTCGTGCAAGCTAGCTCCCTCCCCGCCTACTCGCCCAGACTCTGCTGGGCTGCAGCTTGGGATAGTGCTGTTACACCACAGGGATAACAAGAGCTCTTCAAAGTGGAGTACGGACCCCTAGGAGATACACTCTGCCATGCTATGAGACTGCTAATTCTCTGCAGCCCCCTGGGGACATCTGCAAGAGAGTCATCTCCTCCCAGGATCAAAATGCTGCAGCAACAAGACTGAAGTTACCCCTTCTGCGTGGAGAGGCATCACATTCCCATGTCCCTGGAGCTGCAGCCAGACTACAAAGGCTTCTTTGCTTTCTGCCAGGCCCCTGAGGGTGGCAGATTTCCTTCTGAGCCCACAGCTAAGGATCAGCTAACCCACAGGGTGGGACCACAGTATCACAGACGTTCTCTCTTGTCCCTCCTTTCCCGCTCCCCATTGCAGTTGCATCCTCCCTGCTCGTTACAGAGACTATTTAAATCCGTTCTACCATTTCTGCAAAGATGCAGCCGATGCTCCAGATATCCACAGCAGTCGAGTAGTATTTGCATCCCAGCAGTATTTCAGGGGCTCGGTACCACAGAGTCACCACCTGGTAAGGAACCAACAGACAAGTGTTGTCTTGTTTCCCTGGGTGAAACTAGAGGCGTGGGATTCTCTCTCCTCAGCAGCAACGCAGTGACTGTACAAACTGGAGTGTGCCGAGGCCGTGCTGAATCAACAGACACTTTAGTGACAGTAAGATTGGGATTAGCAGGTCATTTGTCAACAGAACACTCTGGAACAAGTCAATATACCCTGTGCAGAGAAGGTGGGAGCCCAGCTTGCAGGCAGGCTTCAGTAGAAGCACTCGGCACACTGGGGGGGCATGAGGTGACCCCTTAGCTGTGGGTTAGCTTAAGAGTGTGTGCCTGGGCACAGCTGTGCCTCCGTTATGGATGAGTAATTTGTGATGCTGCTGTTGTGTACCCACTATGGATTGTGTACCCCACTCTCAGGTGGCAGGGAGCCTCACCAATACCTCATGAGTATATGTGCGCAGGGGGACCCCGAAAGCTCTTGCCAGTCCAAAGTCAGCCAGCTTGATCGCTCCGGCTTCGTTAATGAGCAAGTTCTGCGGCTTCAAGTCCCTGTGGATGACTCTGTGTGAGTGGCAGAAGCTCACACCCTGCAGCAGCTGGAAAAGGTAGTTCTAAAGAGAGAAGAGATTTCAGATAAGGCCATGATGAAACCACTTTGGAGGCTGGAGTGTGCGAACCCATACACTTTGGATCATTTATAGACCTGAATGGGAAAAAAACCTTTGCTATAATGCAATACCAGGCTTGTGGGCCACTACTCGGAGATATCCACAAACTGTTCCCACCCTACATGGGGACAGAGACTCCGCTCCAAGCAGCAGCAGTCCCTTCCACCCATCCATTACTCTGTACAAAGGCAATTAGCAATAAGTCCCTCAGTTGTCCTTTTAACAGCAGTTCATTTTGCAGCAGGATTGGCTGGAGAGCCTGGAAACAGCTGGGAAACAAATGTGCTGAGCAATAGTGCCATGAGGTTTTTTCAGCTGAAATGTTTGAGATCTGAGAGGCTGAATGCTTCCAGACAAGGATGAATCTCTTACAGATGCAGTCTGGGTAAGAGCAGCTCAGTGCCGGCTCTGCCCAGCAGAAGGCAGCAAGGACACATGCTCTCTGCCCTGCCTGTTAGCACTCCTTCCACACTGTACCTTGACCAAGCTTAAAGGAAGCTCTCCAGTTCGGGATGAGTCCATGTATTTCTTCAGGTCCTGATTCAGATACTCAAACACTAGATAGAGCTTCTTCTGGCTGTGTATGACATCCAGGAGCCTGCAAAAGAAGTACAGGCACTCCCTTCAGTGCCTTTCAGCACCTTCTCCAGACCTTTGCAATTACCCAAACATCCCTCCTCCCACAGCTGCCTCTGCTCTGTGAGTCCTTTGGAGCAGACAGAAGCGGATATAAAAGCAGCAGCTAGTATAGGGTGGCAGCAGCTTGGATTAGCCTTTGTTGTGGGAATGAAATAGCAGTGCTACGAGCTATCGCTGAGAACCAGGGAAGTAGCTATTTCTGCATTTTCCAGTTTATTTTGCCCCTGTCTGTGCAGTCAGGGAAGGACAGAAAAACCCCTCTTGCTGCCTGTAACCGGAGCTCCCTGAGCAGAAGCTCATCGATGAGCTGGTGGGGAGGGTTCATCCAGGTCTTACTTGACAATGTTGGGGTGCTTCAGCTCCTTCAGCAGTGAGATTTCTCGGATGGCAGTGCTGGGGACGCCCTCCGTCTCCCTGCAGCAGAGACAGGCTGTACAGCACCGCGTCCCCCAGTGGGATCCCGCAGCCCATCGGGGTCCTGTGTCCCTTCTCCCTTCCATTGTACCCCATCACCTGCCCAGGGGAGGGTCTCTCACACTGGGCACCCTGAGTTTGGGACGGAGCCGTGTGTGGTGTGGGCTGGGTGAGGCAGGGGAAAATGGAGCCGTGGGGAAGGAGAGGGAGGGGGTGACCTAGACAGTGCAAGCTCTGGGGCAGAGCTTGTTTGGGAGCTCCTTTGGAGAAGCAACAATGGTTTAAATGCCCGAGCTTCATTTTTCGGAGGTGGGGGCAAATGAAATCTCTTTGCCCCTCAGGCAGCCACCTCCTCTGATCCTGAGGGGCCACCATGGGGTGCAGTCCCACCACCATGGCCCCTGGTCCACGCTGACACCCCTCATCATGGAGATAGCCCAGAGCTGACCCAGGGGAACAGTAACGAGCTTTTATCTGCTCAGTGCCCACCCTGGAGGGGTTGAAGCTGGCCCTGCCGGGAGGCTGAACCCTACCAGGCCCCAGCACTAGATCCCTGAGGGAGAGGCCACCTCCCAAAATGGTGGCTACTTCCCCCTGCCCTGTGCCACGCAGCCAGGGCCAGGTAGAGCTGGGTCAGGCCCTAGCTGCTTGCATGAGGCAATAGAGACTTTTTTCTTTTCCCCTCATGTCAGGCTTTTTTTGAGCTTTTCACACCATTTTGGAAGCTGGGCTGGGCTCAGGGGCCGCCCCCGCTCTCTCCCGTGGTGGGGCTGGGGCACTGCTGGGCTCAGCTGGCGGCCACCTCACTGCCAGCCCCAGAGGAGCCATTTGCCTTCCTCACCCCCCCCCCCCCCCCCCTCAGCACCTTCTGGGCACCACGCAGAGGAGGCAGCCGGCCTGGTGCCATGGTGGGCTGGGCGGGCACTGGGCTGGACTGGGCCATGGCGGCCCCAGGGCCGGGGCTTTGCCCCACTCACGCGTCCAAGCGGATCTTCTTGAGGGCCACCAGCTGCCCCGTGCGCTTGTTGCGAGCCTTGTACACCACGCCGTAGGTGCCCTCCCCGATCTTCTCCACCTTCTGAAACACCTCCTGGAAGGCGTCCATGGCGCTGCCTCAGCCGTGCGATGGCAGCGGGGGGGGCTGGCGCTGCTTTCTGAGGGAAAAAAAAAAAAAGGGAGGGAAAAAAAAAAAGAGGGGG